ATTCCGTAAATTTCATACAAACACTTTAACTTATAAATATTTTTCATAAGACTTATTTAAATTAAGATTCCACAAAACTCCATCAAAAAACCGATTTCGCAAATTTTCTACCAAAAACATGAATAAGTAACTTTTGCACCAAAGTAATTACAAAACAAATATGATCTAAAAACATTTTATCAAAATTTTGATTTTGGAAATCATCCGCGAAAAAGTGAATCCATAAAACTAAATTCGCCAAAACTTTACATTAAAAATGTGATTCTAAAACTACCATTCAAAATTTTGATTTCATGAATTTTCTGCCAAATAAGTGAAACCGTAATTGTTTTTCAAAAACTTATTTAAAAATATAATTTTGAAAAACTTCCATAAAAACCTGATTTCAGAACTTTTCCAGCCAAAAACATGAAATTATAATTTTCCCACAAAAATATTTTTTTAGAGTATTTTAATCTGATTTAGTTAATTTTTGCTAAATATTATGAAATTCATATATTTATACCAAATATTATGAATCCATAATTTTATAGGTTGCTACAAATATTCTGCTAAATACTTGAAATTCGTAAAATCTCTGCTAATTTTTTGTATCGAAATGTGATTTTTAATATATTTGAAAAAATATAATTCTCCCTAATTTTTGTGAAAAAATTGAGTACTTAAATTTTCTATTAAATAATGCCCTGTCATAAGCTATGTATACTAAAAACTGACATGTCACAATTACATCATCATTACACATCATCAGTTTCATGTCACATTAAAATTGCTGAAACTAAAGATCTTAACCAATCAAATTAAAAAAATCAGCAATTTCGTTAAACTATATTCTCAATTAATAGGGAGAGGATTATCTATAATCACATACTAATATATAAAACTTAAATTAGATCAAAGCATTTAATTCTGACAAATGTGTAGCTAGTTAGCTATGGAATGCCCACATACTCTATCTTTAACTATATAACTAAGGATTGCTACAAAATTGCCACGGATTTGGCTATAAAAATAATATATTTTGTTACGTCAACATCCTTTGCCTTTTGCATAGCTAATGGTCATAACTACAAATTTTTCCTCGCTTCACATTCAAATTGGAGATGATCTTTCTATAATTGCTCCTCTGGTTACGTCTATCCAATTAAGTAATTATCGGCTTCACATTCAGATCGAAGATGATTCATCCACACCGGTTTGACTATAAGTCACAAGATACTCTGTTAACCAACAAAATATGGACTATGCTAATTTAAAGAGGAAATGCTCAGAAATAATTTAGAATGATAAAATAATATAATATAGGTACCCTATTGAGGAAAAATTATGAAAATGATATTTTTTACAATTTTTATAAATACCAGTGCTACCCTTCTAACTACTATAATTTGTAGACTATTGGTAGACTAACGACAAACTGAATGCAGACTGAATGCAGACTACTGACAGACTGATTGGTCAAATAATTGAATGTAGACTACAGACAGACTAATGGTAGACTCATTGCAAATTACTGGCAAACTAATATCAGATTGAACGCAAACTAATGAACACCTCTTATGGGTCATTTTAGGAAGGGTCATGTTTTGTAATAAAATTGCCAAGTGAATTATTTCAAAAATTATTTCTAATTTAAAATATAGATATCCTCACACTAATGAGAAATGGTACAGATGTTCAGATCTCCTGAATATCATTTATTGTTCTATACAGTTTTAGTGTTCTTTTTATTAATCATCCATTTAAAATTGGGTGATTTTAATGAATATACATAAATACTTTGATAATTAGGTAAATGGTAATAGATAAATAACAAAGAGAAATAAATTTAAATACCAAAATCTCTTTGTTATTTAGTTTAATTACAAAAATGCCATTCATCAAAAAATTTGTTAATAATTAAAAAAATTCCAACTTCCAACATTTGATTAGCATGTTAAACCATATAGTATATTATAAAAAGTATATACTTAAACAAGTTATAACATATCATGTCAACCAAATTATCAAATTATAAAATAATTTGAAATATAGATATATAAAACTATCATGTTAACATAATTATCATATAATAAAAAATAGAGAAAATGCTTCAGAATGACCTAAAATGATGAAATAATATGAAATAGGTACCATTTAAGGAAAATTGTAAAAATGACCCATTTAAATATCAGTGCTATTCTTCTAACTACTGTTACTTGTAGACTAATGGCAGACTGAATATAGACTACTGGTAGACTGAATATAGACTACTAGCAAACTGATTGGTCAGATAATTGAATGCAAACTATTGACAGACTAATGATAGACTAGTTACAAATTATTTACAGACGAACAACAGATTGAAAGCAAACTATTGGACCCCTCTTATTGATCATTTTAGAAAGGGTCATGTTTCGTAATAAAATTGTCAAGTGAATCATTTCAAAAATTATCCCAAAAATATGATTTATTAGTTAACTAACTTTGTTAGCATAACAAAATTATGCAAAATCATATTAATAATAATTAAAGTACTTTCATTATTGATTACTTACATAGTTAACACCATTGTTATCGCTAACGTTATTGTTATTATCATTATCGTTGGGTGTTATTGTTATTAATATTTCTTATCATTATCGACTAGCACTGTTATTAACGTTGCCGTCACTGTCTAAGTTTTTTTCATCATCATTATCGTTATTTTTGCTCTTAATATTGTCATTAACATTGTCGTTGTTGCTATCTATTTTTCTATTTTCTTTTTTTCTTCTTCTCCTCTTCCTTCTTTTCTTTTGTTTTTCTATCCATGCTATTATTTGTAAAGAGAATAAAAAAATTAATATGAGAGTAAAACAGGGTTTTAATAGTTACTTACCATAGTGGTTAATAATTGAGATGAGAGAACTAATTTTCAAATTATCTATGATCTTTTAGTGGTATTTCTCTTTAAAATTGCACTAGGATATTGGTCCGCACGCATGTGCGGGCATGAAAAATTTTTAAAATGTAATTATCTAAATACAATATCTAAATCCGTTTTAAATATTTTAATTTTTTGTAATATTTGAAATTCAAGGTCAGTGTTTTAAATTATAAGACTTTAAATTAAGTAGTAAAATATGATCTAATTTTAACTAAACATTTTGTTATAACAAAACGTTCATTTATATTTTGAGACAGACTTGAAAAATAATAATTAAATTTGGAAAACACAAAACTTATTTTTTCATGATCAGGCTTTGTAAAACTTGACCAGTTATGTTAGAGGGTCAAATAGATCAAACCCGTGGATAGCTGGTTACCTTCTTCGAATTTGTGGATCAAGCTGCAAATTTTATCTTCTCTGTCTTTTTTTTGAACAAACGTTTTTTATTTTCTTTGTCTTCCTATAATCTTCCTCAATTTAAAGCATTATTTCTTCAAGGATTCCGTCATTGTTGGTCTCAATCTACTTATATGTGCGATTTTTCTACTTATAATTTTATCAAGTAGACTCTACAAATAATTGCAAGACCATCTCCACTTAAGCATCAAATGCTTCAATTAACCCTATTGCAAGACATGTTTCAGCGAAGGTTGAATATAAAACTCTGTTTACTGTTCTATTATTTTTTTAAACATACTGGTCTTCTCTGAACATTTAGCAACATTTTAAGGTAGAAAAGTTTACCATATTCTTCTGAAACTTCTGGAAGGCTAATATCGTAGGGAACATTGTTTTTTCTGTTGCGAGGGAGCCACTTCTTAATTTTTTAATGCCAAACCCATTTGTTTGGAATTTCAGTATAGCGATAAAACCTTGCTTAATTACACTCACGATTGGAGTCTATACAACTTTCAAGTTTCATTTTACCCATATTCGATTTAGATAAATGGATTGGTAGAATTGACATGCCCACACTTTGAGTTAGGGTTTGATTTGTTTGATACTCATTGTGTTGTGATGTTTTCTTATATAAGGATCCGAGTATCTAATTTTTTCATTAGTTATTTGGGATTAACGTGATTTTATATGGATCTTTTTAGTTTTTATTAAATGGACATTAAACTTTTCAAATAATGTAGAGGATAATGATTTTGGTTTTTCATTAGATGAACGCTGATTTTTTAGGATATTCAACTTTTGTTACGAAAAATAATGTAGAGAATTATTAAATCGAAATCTTATATTTATATTTGTTACTGTTTTTAAACTAAACTAATATTTTAAAATTTTGAATGTTCTACAGAAGATCACAATAATATCTTATTTTATTATTATAATTTTGTCAACTAAAGTATGTGAAAATATATGTGCACGTAAATGGAGCACCGCCTTTACAAAAAGTATGAATTATTAAGTAAACGATTTGATCAATATGATTTTGTTATTATAATTTTGCCTACTGAAATATATGAAAATATATATGTGCATGTATTCCATATGAATATAGTATTATAATATATATTTATATATAGATATGTGTGTATCTATATGGAAAGTTACAGTGATCCACGACAGAGCTATAGTAAATTTAATATATATAATATAGTATTATCCATAGTATTATAATATATATATATATATTAAAATCATCACGTTCAGCCCAAAATTCATATGCTATTACCCATATAGATGAATAATAATATCAGACTATTCATAATGCATCTGGCGAATCATTTATTTAGTTATTAGTACACTAAATTTGTCATCTAATTAAATTTTTTATAAATGAAAATATCACAAAAAATCTTTTTGCCATGTCATAAACCACATGTGTTAGTAAATGTCATGTCACAATTACATCATTATTACACATCATCATTTCCATGTCACATTTAATTAGGATAGAAAAAAGATTTTAACCAATCAAATTAAAACAAATCAGCATTTTTCATTAAACTACATTCTCAATTAATAGGTAGAGGATGACATGCAGTTCCAACATAATTTCATGGGAGTTTGAGCTCTAGTATTTCTATAAAAGAAACTCATTATTTGGTCAAACAAACCAAAACATATAAACATCTTAGGAATTGTTGAACAAAAAAAACAAGTCTGCAGAATTAATAAGGATTCTTTGACTCTGTTTATGTTAATTGGTTAACATATCAGCTTATAAGTCTCCAGACATTTAGTTTTGGTCAACAGTCTTGAATTAATAAGAACAGTATCTTTAATGATAATAAGAACAGAACAATTACTTATTTAGTTATAACTATATAAAAACCTTTTATTTTTCCTCTTCAAAATCAATCCACCCTCTCTCCATCTCTCTGTCGTTGATAAAAGATGGAAATGAGAGGTCCACTGATATGGGTGTTCTTGATGTGTTATAGCTTCGGTCACTTTACAAGTCATAACAATGGCTTTATAGAAGCGAAGAGCTTGACTGAATCTAAAGCTCTACAAATTGAGAAGAAATTAGAGACAATCAATAAACCCGCCGTCAAGATCATCAAGGTTCATTCATTATCTGGTCATAATTTTATATGAATAATCCTATTAGTCTATACTTCACTCTGTTGATACAAAAAAAAGGTCTATATTTCACTCCAGTCTGATATAAATACTTTTTTGTTGTCGAGTAAATTTTATATTTAAATTAAATAATAATTCTGAATGTATGAGTTATATAATAAGCTCTATATTTGTGGTTACAAATGATAGACTATCCATGGGGAACCATATGGATGTGTGGATTTCTTCAAGCAACCAGCATTTGATCACCCTTCTATGAAAAATCACGCATACCATTACAAGGTATGATTTTGGATGCATTCCTATATGTAAATTCTTTTAATTTAAAATTTAAGACAATAATACTTTGTTTTCCAAATCTTAGATGCGTCCGTTATGGCAACCCGAAGGAATGAGAAAAAGAAAGACAAATAATACTGGATTTGGTTACTTATGGGAGAATGGTGTGGGCTGTCCCATAGGTACCGTCCCTATTAAAAGAGTTACCAAAGACGATATCTTGGGAGTAAACTTGTTAGAAGATCAGTATAAACCCCGTGGTTCTTGGAACACAATCACTAATGATTCTAATAACGTTGTTCATTACGACCAACATCATGTAAGTTAGTTTTTAATTAAATAACCTTATCATCGTTTGAAATTTTGATATATTTATAATGATAGTATGTTTGGTTATTATTAAATGGAATTAGTATGCGGTGGGTCGGACTAAGAATATAGGAATACACCACCATGGAGCAACAATGGATCTTTGTTTAACCGCACCTAAGGTTAAGCCTACCCAATTCAGTAGTTCTCGGCTTCACATTCAGATTGGAGATGATTTCATTCAAACCGGTTTCACTGTAAGTTACTTAATCGGTTTAATAACCAACAAAATATGTACAATGCTACGTATATTCTTCTTTCTTTTTCTTATATAAAAGGTTTTTAAAGTTTTGTTTTGTTTCATTTTATTTGATTTTTTCAAGTCTATACGCAAAATATTTTGTAATCTTTTGTACTATATATGGAATGTTTTGTTTATTATTGGTTCAATTAGTTTTAGTTTATTTGCCTTTTTAAATGTACTTTTATCTTAAAAATAACATCTGAAGTAAATATTCATAAAGCACAATGTACTAATTCAGGTAAATCCAGTGTTGTACAAGGATCACCAACCTCGGACTTTCGTCTATACAAAAGTAAGAATCAGTCACAACATGCTAGTAATTAAATTCTCTCTTTAAAAAAAAAATTAGAAAACTATATATTATGGAAATCTAGAGTCAAAACAAAAAATCATGTTAATCGAATTATTAAGATGACATTTTCCGCAAAGAAAAGGAATCAAGTTTTAGTCGATAATTCAGTTTTTAATATTTCTGATGCATCGTGATTAACTTTAAGGATGTATATTGATGGGACAGTCTGGTGGAAAATCATGTTACAATAGCCATTGCGATGTGGGAATGGTGAACGTACGTCAAGATTTTCCAATGGGTATAGCAATGAAGCCAGTGTCTGTTCGTGGTGCTTTGAAAAGCCACTATGCAAGCTTCGGTGTAATCAAGGTCAGTTTTTCTATATTTAGGGTATTATCTAGTGTTTTCTTTATAAAAGTTTTATAATATGACCATTTATTATTTTGTAATTCAGGACCAAGCAAATGGGAATTGGTGGTTGCAGTTTGGTAAAGATGCAGACGAACTCGGGTTTTGGCCGGCAAGTAGGTTTCGCCAAAGCTTTGGAAACTTGGTCGAATGGGGAGGAGAAGTGTACAGCGCATCACTACCTAGTCCTGAAATGGGATATGGATTTCCTCCAATCAAGAGACTAGATTATGATGCATATGCCAAACGTATTGCCGTACTGGACGGTAATTATCGTGTTGATAGAAAATTGGATTATATCGAAGAATTTACGGACAACTCCGAAGGCTACAACGTGAAAGCGGTTCTGGAATCCAGAATCGCTAGCGAGGGTCATATGATCCTTTTTGGTGGTTTTGGAGGAATCTAAAAGTACACTTAGGTCTTTGTCATATGGAAATCAAGACATTAAATAGATTTGGTTTTACAATAAATATCGTCTCTTGTGGGCTTTTTTAAAAATATGGTTGTAAAAAAGATTTGTCAATTGATCTTGATAATGTTTGGGCAAGGATTATTAACTATCTTTAGGTCACATATCAATTATGGATTAAAGTAGATTGTGTAGATCAGACTTTGATACCATATTAAGTTATATGAGCTTCTAACCCAAAACCAATTGACAACAAGTAAATTGGCTTAAGTTTTTTTATATAATATTTAAGATTTTTTTTTAACTTTTGATATGGGATATATTACTTAATACTGAATTGTATTCTGATCAAGATGTGGTGCGATGATCTTGATCATGATCTAGCACTGAATAGCAAGTATATTTGACAATGATGTGATTCATCTACTTTTGAAGGTGATTAGGTATTTACCTGTGCTACGCTGCGAGATATTTTTCTAGATTTTGTATATATTTTTAATATAATAAAATTATTTTTATAATATAAATAAATATTATATTTATTTTTCATTAGCTTAAGTTATGTATTTATATGTTTTAAATCTGAATAAACATTATCTATCCTTAATTTTTTTATTTTTTAAAATTATAATCTACTATCAAATTTGTTTAACTAACTATAAATAAATGTATATGTAAGAATAAAACAATCTATCTTTTAAGTACATTCATGTTAATGGCAAATGTAATTTATTTTCTCTACAAAATTGCCACTTGATTTGAAATTATATAAAGCAAATTACCATTTAAAATTAATATAATTATTTTGAATTATAAAATTTATTTATTTATCAAATATTTGTTATAAACATATGTTTCTAAAACTACCAAACTATAATCAATAACATTCATATCAAAATCATTGCTATTGCTTTAGAACTAAATAGAAAGTTCTGTTTTAACTGTTGAAATATCAATTTAGTTGAAGTTATATAATTCAAATTTGTTACTATAAACATATTGTAACTTGAAAATTTAGCACAGAGAAATTTTATCTTTTTACAAAAACCAAAAAATTGCATTTTCCGACAAAACAAAAAAATTTTATTTTCCCACGAAACTGAAAAATTGTCTATTCCCGCCGAAACCAAAAAAAAAGTCATTTTCTCCTCAAACCTGAAATTTCATATTCCTACCAAAACAAAGAAATTGCATTTTCCCGCAAAAATCAAGAAATCACATTTTCCTGCGAGAACCTGTGTTTTTTCGCCAAAACAGAGAAATCAAGTTTTTTCACCAAAACCAAAAAAATTCATCATCCTGCAAAAACCAAAAAATCGTATTTTTCTGTCAAAACTAAAAAAAATATTTTCCCGCAAAAAAAACAGAGGAATCGTCTATTCCCGCCAAAACAAAAAAATATATATTTTTCTCGTCAAACCAAGAATCACGCTTTCCTACCAAAACCGATAAACTACAATTTCCGCGAAACCCAAAAATTGCATTATCTCTTGAGAAATTGTGTCTCCCGCAGAAACTAAAAAATCGTATTTTTCCCGCGAAAACCAAAAAATCACATTATATGTCAAAAACTGAAAATTTGCATTTTCAATCAAAATCGAGAAATTTTTTATTCCTGCTAAAATCGAGAAATTTTGTTTTCCCATCAAACCGAGAACTTGCATTTTCTGTCAAAATTGTCAAATTACAATTTTTTGCGAAAACTAAGAAATCACATTTTCTCGCGAAAATCAAGAAATCACATTATCCATCAAAAGCCAAATTTTTTTATTTCTTATCAAAACCGAGAAATCGTTTTTTTCCGTCAAAAGTAAGATATTTTATTTTCGCGTCAAAATCAAATTTTTTTTTCTCACCAAAACCCAAACCCGAGAATTCGCTTTTTCCGCCATAACCGATAAATTATGTTTTCCTATCAAAACTGAAAATCACATTTTTCTACCGAAACCAAAAAATTCTCTATTATCGCCAAGTCCAAGAAAATTTGTTCTCGGTTATCACCGGAAATGCGAATCTCCAAGCTGTGGTGGTCTGAGCTTCTCCTCATTTGTTTTTAAATTCTATTTTTTTTGTAATCTTTGGGCTTTTTAATGGTCAGCAAAATAGTAAACTGATTTTATTAGTGTGTTGATGATATGTATTATTGTTATGTTTTTATTGGTTTAAATTTTTGCTGATGTGTGAGCTTCTTATAACATAACACTTTTTGCGTTGTTGTTATGGAAGCATAGTTGATGATGAGTCTACACTTTTTTCAATCATATACGTCCATATCAAGCAAACACATAGTTATAATTTTTTTTTTGCTGTTATTTAATATTTGAGTTTCAGTTTGGCAAAAATATAAAACAAAGATTTAATTTTATTTGTTGTTATTTATTATTTGGATTTTGGGATGGTAAAAAATAAAATAATTTTTTATTTGCTGTTATTTATTATTTGCGCTTGGGTTTGGCAAAATAAAAAGATTAACAAAGAAAAATATTTGGGGTTTTAATGGGTTTAAGTTAAAAATAATAAAAATTATTAGATGATGTGTATTAATAAAATGTTTTGATTGATGTGTTTTTTTGCTGAGGTGTCAACTTTAGAAAGCATGAATAAGTTGATGTGTCATTTTCTGGAGAGACGCTTGTGTTATTGTTGTATTGACTAGGTATTTATCCGCGCTATGCTGCGGAATGTTATTCTAAATTTTATATATTTTTAAAATAAAAAATTATTTTTATAGTATAAATAAGTATTATATTTATTTTTTATTTAGCATAAGTTTTGTATCTAGATCCTATTTATTTCTCCATCTATATGGTTTATTTGAATAAAAATGAGAATTTTGTTTGTTTTGTAACAAAATCAAAAAAAATATTTAGATAAATTATCTAGATGATTTTTCAAGATTTAGATAAATTTATGAGAATTATCTGGATAAACCAAATTGGACCATCTTGATGGAGATGTTTCAGTTCAAAATGACAAATGACTAAAATACTCTTAAATTTAAAAATAATAAAAAACCTAAAATCATTTTTTTTAAAATACCACAAATTATGCTTTTCTAACGAAACCTGAAATTTTTTTTTTTTTTCTAAACTGGTAAAATCATATTTTCTGGTAAAATCGAGAAATCGCATTTTTCAACCAAAACTAGAAAACTCATTTTACTATTATAAGTTTACTTATGATCATAAATTTATCTACTCGCAGGTTATATTCATATTTTTAGTTATGAAACTTTTAATGCATGTTTATCTTACACTAACTAAATATTTATTTTAACATTAATATTTCTTTAGCATTATAAAATATTTAGTAAAAAACCACAAATGAAACAACAATTCACATTAGCTTACATATTTTCTATAGCTTAAGTTTATATATTGACCAGATCGTTACCTTGAGCTCTATAAATTGAAAAAACTACAAAATATATCGAAAGAAACCAAATAACCATGTCAAATGTTTGAAGCTCGTTTTTAACTGACCTCAGATCTTATAACTTTATTTTTCTTCAGTTCTTTTTCTCTCACATATGCTAGAAACAAGTCTAGCAACTACGAAAATGGCTTCACAATGTCGCCATTCCTCCCATTCTCCAAATCATATCAGCGTTTCTTTCATCTATTGAATCATAGTCACTGGTCAAGATTTAGGCGGTTGGCAACTTTTTCGATCAGATCTTTGATACCTTTAAACATAATATATTTGCTTTCAAAAACTTAATACACTTTCAAATATTCAATCATAAGTATACAATAACTTGATTAAAAAATACTCATTCTTTTGATAATTAATTAAAATTTGGTGCACTCTCTCTTTGTCAAAGTATAAAAAATTATTTAATTTCAATATATAGAAAACCTAATTTTCTGGATTTTTACTTTTTCTCATATCTTTGCTTTAAACATGTAAACATTAACATTATCATACCTAAACATTATTCACACTCATATGTATATCTAAAACCTTCAAACTTCACACTATATTTAGATATAATTTTATTAATAAGCCATAGAACAGATATGATACATGAGTAACACCCAAATACAAAGGCCCAAAACATTAAAGTATTAAACGCAAGCCTAAATACAACTTAAACTACATTTGGTGTTACTGTAATTGGATATCTCATCCGGCCCAAAAAATTAAAGTATTAAACGCAAGCCTAAATACAACTTAAACTACATTTGGTGTTACTGTAATTGGATATCTCATCCGTCTTTAGCATCAGGGACAAAGCTTTACCACTTTAAAGCTTCAACTTTCAGAAAATTCATCATCACAATGCGAATGTAGATCTTTTTCAAACTCTTTTGAGAACCACCATATCTCCTTAATAGATTCATGGTTAAAAAAATCCTTCTTTCCCACAAAGTTGTCACAAAGTTAAAATCTTAGAAGTAAAATCGTGAGTTTGATGAGATAATAATATTAATTGATTCATTAGAATTTTAGGTTTGTTTGCCAATAAACGTTATCAATTAGTTAGGTTAATTATATAATTTTTAGAATAATTGAAGAAGATGGACGAAGAAGATGATGTTAGGGAAAAGGAGAAAGAAGATGTCAATAATATACAATGAGTTCAGTTTGTTCTTTTTAAAAAAATTAAAAAAAAATTATAAAACAACATGTAGTACATTAGTAAAAATGGTGTGTTTTAGTTTTTGTCATCGATATAATAAGAGTTAATTTTGCAGTTATTCCAAAATAATAATATTGGGCTTCAATTTCTATGTACTGTCCATATTGGGTCTTATTAATAAAAAAATTTGATGATAAAAAGAAAAAAATTTGCCTATGTGTTAAAATCTTGAGATGAAGTGTATTAATGAAATGTTTTAATTGGTTCAATATTTTGCTGATGTGTCAGCTTCTAATAACACAAAAAGCTGAGTTGTCAACACATGGAGAGACTTATGAGTTATTGTTGTATTAATTAGTTGTTTACAAAATATATTTAACTCAAATCTCGCCAAAAACCTTGACTACGACGCAATTAGTTATGTTAATTTTTTGTTTGCAATTTTATCCGTATTTGAATGTAGTGGTTATATTAATTTTTTTCACAAAAATTATTTTCATTAGAAACATTAAAATCATGTTT